GTTGTACATTTGCTGTTGTATTAAAGTTTTTCTTCATTACCCATTCAAGCCGTCTCCAGCCATTATTATACCCAGTTTCAGTTTATCAATCATTACTTTGGTAGGATTTAGGAAAATATCATGACTCGTGTTTGCATTTAAGTGGATGATAAATCCTAAGGGGACTACAGGTACTGTGATATATTCATATGAAACAGATTTGTTTTCAAGTAATTAAATAGGTCCACTGAAAAACAAAATATTCAAGAAGATATCTATTACAGAGTTACTATAAATTACTCTGAAAAACTGAGTTACTGAGAATGAAATAGAGACAAAATGTAAGATACAAAGGAACAAATTTATTATAACACAAACACAGTGCATGTAGTGTACTACAGAGGATAGCCGTTTTTGGTGTATCAGCTACCTGACTATCTTCTTTATAACTATATACTAGATTTCTCCCCTTTTTAAGATAATGTTCCTTACTTAACAAGTAATACTGGATTTACCCAGTGTCTAACATTACCCACATAACTCACCTGACCTGCCACCGGAGGACACTACTGTATACATTCCTGTACAATGTACAGCATTACATAGCTATTCCTCCCTTGTGCAGACCAGGTGTTAACTTAAGAGAGTTACATAGGAACAAAAGCAGCTAGAAAGAAACAATTACTACATTTCTTGAACATGTTATGGGAAAACTGCACATACCAGAATAACTAATTCTGAAAAATTATACATTAAAAGGAGGTAGAAAACATATGATATTATTATATATCATAGTACTATGTTCTGAAATTGGTGAGTAGGCTTATCATGCAAAATAAGCAATTTGTATACTAATATCCTTGAAACAAGTGTTGTCATACAATGAGTAACAATGATGGTTTCTTACACGTTTAATTTGAACTTTGGCTTAATATTCATGTCAGTTGAAATTTTTGATATGATAAACTAAATACAGATTAAAAAAACAAAAATTGTATAAGGAAGTTGACTACAAAGTTGAACACTGTGATATTTAGTACTACTCTGATGGTTAACTTCAATAAGGGAACTTTATGTATTATGTCATTAGTAGAGGTTCTTATATTCAGTTTGTATGATTAACCCTATGTGTAGAAGGTCGGTCTGTTGGATCAAATGCATACTGAAGAATTGATGTGTATTATAATTCTGAACTTACCAGTTTTGTCTTCATGAAATATGGCAAGCTTTTACTAAACATTACCATTATGCTATGCACAAAAAGAAACAAATTTTTAATAAAATATTTTTACTAAAGATTTGTCTGTGAATAGAATTAGTCTGACTAATCTTTGGTGTAAGGTGATTTTCATGTTAAGAATAAATATATTTATTTTCACCTTTGAGTTTTCATATGTCATTTGCATAATCTCTAGATCCTCCTAACTGAATATCAAAAGTTTTTAGTAACACTTTATATTCTACCTGATGTTCTTTCTACCTAACACTAAATGTAAATGAAATCAGCAATAGAGTAAAATTAACAGTTGAAATAAATCTAAGCTACCCTTTTCTTTTTAACTTCTAGAATGACTACATATTGTAATGGAAAATTTCACACAATTTATTCTTACAACAGCACTTAAGAATCCCTCTCAGAGTACATGAAAAGCCACTTATCAGAGCAGGACAACCTTGCGTACACAAACAATTGAATCACCAATGTTCATATACTCGATTTCCACAATCACACCTATTGATGTGCTCATGTTATGAGTAATTTTTTAATTTAAGTTTAATTACCTAAACTAAATAACTTTCTATTTTTTTAAACTTTAGTTGC